TTTACGTCGCTAACTCTAAAATACAATACAATTTTGCCTTCAGAAGGCCCCCAGTATGGGGGCGCCCTTGGGGGGGGATCCCTACACACCAGTTCGGGGGTAATACAAAGTAATTTTTTTGTTATGAACTTAATAAAATCGAAATACTACATACACAGAAAACAACCGAACCTTCTGGTTTATCTTGTATTACGCCCTCCCGTGAACGTGCCTCGACATTTACAGGCGCGCGTCGCGAAAAGGAAACGACCCGGCCACGGAACCGGGCCGAATACTGAAAGGTACGATCCCCTTTTGATCCTTCCCCTAAACTAAAGTAACAGTCAGTTATGACCATAACTTAAAATTCTATAAAAGTATGTTAGTATCTCATAACCCGTAGTAAACATAATTACACCTGGCCTCCCTCTCCCACTGCTCGTATTTAAAGGTGAAAGGAAAAAAAATATATGTTAATGTTGAAAACAGTACTTCTTATACAAAGAGTACTATACAGGTCGCAAGTATTTCGCTATTTTGTTTGTCCGTAGTCTCGTGCGTGCATCAGGATCTACTCAAATTTCATCAAGGAGCAAGAATAATTTCGTAGGTACAACACAGCGCCAACTAACACATATGTAACTTATTTTATTTTTGTTGTTCATTTACATCACTTTCATCAGGCAATTTTTTAGTTTAATATCAGGTGTCAAAAGAGCATGGCACCTAGTAATGAATGTGCCAAATGTCTCCACTTCGTTCCACTGCCCCAGTGACTTGAATATCTTGGGTTCTGCCACCCTTCATGCAGATCTAGATCCCTCCGCTTCGCGTCGGGCTCCTGATCAGCCTGTCGGGTGTTCTTTTCCCCATAATGACCGCGTCGCTGCACATTATCCCTTACAAACTAGCTAAGTTAGCTAGATGTAATTCATTCTTAACTGTAGGCTTTTATCAAAGTATTAATTTACTTAATCTAAATGTAACAACATTTTAAATTATAATGACTTACATTTATGGCGTTATGACCCTCTTCTTGAGGTGATTGTGTCCAAATAAAGTTATGTCTGCTTCAACTTGCTGTTGTCTGTCTTGTCAGGCAGTTTTCCTTCAGCTCTGAAAATGACAGCTTTCCCGCGTATCGGTGGCTCGAAGTTGCCGCGAGCGCTAGGGGGCAGCACTTATAATTCTTTTAATAAAAAAATTTTTTTTTTTTTTTTTATCTGCTTGGGGGCTTGCGCCCCTAGCGCTGCGCCGCTGCTGAAAACATATAGGGGAAACACTGCCTGGAACAATGCTGTACAATATTCTTAAGCTCCAATTCAGATACATTGGAGCTTTCAGAATAAATACAACTTGCAAATATGGAAGTTTTCTTTAACCATATGCTAGACTGCCTATTGTATTGTAGTGAGAAAGAAAGTAAATAATGAAGTGCATTGCCAGGGGTTCGGGTTATTATGCGTTGCATAATGTGTACTCAACACAACAAAGGGAAAATTAAGTAACATGTGATTTTGAAACGTTTGATTTGAGCAATGCAAACTGTAAAAATGTTGATTATGAGAGAAACAAACTTGTAGCAAGCCAACTTCCTTTTTCAAATCAGTCAGTATTCGGAAACAACAATCAATTATCCCTTCAACATGGATAGCTTTCTAATGTCTGCCTCACACCTATTTCTCTCAAATTCTTCAATCCATGGTCTGTCGCCTGGCAAAGACTTCCAGCACAGAGAAAAGAGAAGGATTAGATCATGGCTCAATGAGACAGGGGGAACAAAACCACAAACATCAATAAGTAATCCGGCTGGAGTTAGGGACAAATCAGGGGGTAGCTATGGTCGTAGGGTTTATCTTCTGGGGACCATGAAGGTCTGTAAACTATTTCAGTCCCGTCCATCATTTTAAAGATTCTGGATCGTGGTGATGGACTGACCCACATCCCTGGAGTCGTGCTGCTCAGAAAACGGAAATTCGCCAGGTTCCACAATGTTTTAAAATATTAAGTTAATCACTTGTGTAACAGTAACATAATAATTGTGAATTGAGCCGACATAAAAAACAACGTCTGATCAGCAAGAGATATTTACACTTAACCAAATTAAGTCAGTTATGTTAAATGGCCTAAAATAATATATCTACATATTCAAGTTAAATTAATTATAGAATTATATTTTCATCCAGTTTAATATGTATGAGACATTTATACGTAAAAAAATAAACATAATTACAACTAAGGCAACACATGTAAAGTAAAGCAAAGCAAGGGTCGGAAAGACTTTACTTTGGTTTGAGAATATGCTTAGATGAAGTACTAAAGCATTTGATCACTATTGATGAGTCACCAGTGTAAACTCATGCAGTGTACCTTGATGCTGAAGGACCTCCTGAGGCTCCTTTTATTTTCCCTGAGTGTGACGCTATGGTCTGCCTCCGTGCCTCCTCTTCTCTCCAGAGCTGTCCTCCAGTGTCCATCCTCTAAGTCTCCGTACTGTGTTTGATCCCCAACAGTCACGTCCGTCCTCCCGTCCGGGCCCCACGCCCTGCACCCATGTGACACTTCCCCAGCATGCCCCTCTTCCAGACAATCATCATTGGTCTTAGAGTGACAGAGGATCAGGGACCTGGACGGAGTCAGTGGAAGTCAGAGAGTGCTCTCCATGACAGGAATGGCAAAGCTGAAGAAGTCAAAACTGGAGCAATAAAGCTTTAAATTCTTGCAACAGAATTTTTGTCAGAACATAAAACTGAATAAACATGGAGCATATTCAAGACTAATATCAGATTCAAATGACCAGCCATCACTCGCTCAGCATTCCCAATAGCGCATGACCCTGACCACCCCCAGATTGAATAAGTTAAGTAGTAATGG